CCCAGCTCCCACCTACTCTTCTCCTCTCCATTTGCAAAAGCTGTTTCGATCTTTTTTAACTTTTTAAGAAAATCCCTTTTCCCTCCTTTCCCTCTCCTCCCTCCATTTCTTGTTCCCCTTCCATTGGAAAAAGATTTTCCTACTTCCTAATAACTTTTTTCTCCTTATTTATTCTTTGTGTTTCTCATATAAGAGAAACTGATATTTAAATTTACTTCACTTAAGATTATGGTCTCCAGTTATATCCATTTACCTTAAAATGCCAGAAGTGTATTCTCCTTTATGGCATATTAGTACTCCTTTGTATATAAATACCACATTTTCTTTATCCATTCATCTGGCATCATAATCCCAGACTTCAAGTTATACTACAAAGTTACAGTGATAAGAACAGCATGGTATTGGCAAACACACACACACACACACACACACACACACACACACACACACACACACGTGGATCAATGAAACAGAATAGAGGATGCTGAAACAACTTCAGGCATACTCAGCTATCTTACCTTTGACAAAGGGGCCAAATACCTTTGCTGGTGGAAAGATAGTCTCTTTAACAAATGGTGCTGGGAAAACTGGCTATCCTCATGATGGTAGTTGAATCTAGACATATACCTCTCACAATGCACTAAACTAAAATAAAAATGGATCAAAGATAACTGTTAAAACAAATACTTAATCTGCTGGAAGAAAATAGGTCAAACATTTGAAGACATGGGTGTAGGCAAAGACTATCTGAACAAAATCTCAGTTGTACAAGAAATAATATGAAGAATCAACAAATGGGGTCACATCAAATGAAAAAGATTCAGCACAGGCTGGGTGTGGTAGTGCATTCCTATAGTCCCAGCACTTGGGAAGCTGAGACAGGAGGATTGCCTGAGTGAATTCAAAGCCTGGCTGAGCTACATAGTGAGACGCTGTGTCAAACAACCAAAACCAAATAAAAGAACAAAGATTCTACACAGCAAAACCACCAACCGAAGGAAGAGACAACCTATAGAATAGGAAAAAATATTATCTGGAATCTAAAGACCTAATCCAAAATGGGCATTTGAAATGAAAAGACACTTCTCAGGTGAAGTACAAATGGTCATTAAATACATGAAAAAATGTTCAACATTGCTGGCCATTAGAAAAATGTAAATTAAAACAATATTGACATTCCATCTCACTCCAGAAAGAGTAGGTATCATCACGAAATCAGCCTTTTCATTTTCTGCCTGGCTTTCTCAGGCTACAAAGCAGAGGAAGAGTGAGTGTGGTTTAGAACCAGAGGGAGGTCTTGATGGTAAAGGTGTATGTGTGCCTTTATTTAGCTCTCATGTAGTCCTTGCTGTTTTGGCAATAGTGATCTTTGGCGGTGTGACTGGCTCCAGGAAAGGTCCTTGCTTTGTACTTTTTTCTTGATTCCAAGCACTGAAAGGTTCATAGAGTTTTAAGGTACCGGTTGTGTAGCATTCACATAGACAATGAAGTGGGCTGCTAATGGTTCTGTCGTGCTTATTGCAGGCCTTGTTTTCTGCTAAGTGCTTTACCCAACCCTGGGAAGTAATTACTTTTCATTTATTTACAGGAAGAAAGTTGAGGCTTGTAAGGTAATTTGCCTAGGGTCATGTTTCTGGTAAGTATGTTTGGACTCTGCCCTGTGATTCTAATTGTGCTCTTTTCATGGTTCTAAGTAGTCTTTGTGTTCACTTGTGTATTATAGTCACCTATGAAGTACATTAACATTCCTGTGCTTGATCTCAGGTTCTACAGGTGTGAGGTAGATCCTGAAGTGGTTTTTAGGTTTTCTAGATTTATTGAGGCACAATTTACATAAAGTTTATGTTTTAAGTGATAGTTTGAAAAGCATAGTAGTTGTATCCAGTCATCTAAGTATTATCACAGTCAAGATATGAAATATTTCCATAACCCTAAAAAGTTTCACTGTGCCTTTAATTCCCTGATGTCTGTATTTTCAACCAGCTGAGCAGATGGTTCTAATGCACACTAGATATGGGATCACGATGCTGTGATATGGTGATTGCAAACTTGAGGAACTAAAGTCTTAGAGAAGGAGGCAAGGGCCAGAAAAGAAGCATAAGCGCTCTTAAAAGAGAAATGATTGACTTATTTGTTTCCATATAAGCTATGTTTTACTGGATTCCTGTGCTGAGATGGAATATGAAAGACAGAACTTTGTAGACCAAGCCTGTTTAAAAAAAGTTTCTTCTCTAACAGTTTCTTCCCAGACAATGTAAGAGTTGAAGGATTCTGAACAAAATTAGTGGAGATGGCTGGATAAATTGCTTTGGGATGGAGTCTGGGATCACTGGATAGACTTGGTAACCTGTGGAGGCAGTCTGAGAGGTGGGCAGGAACTGGGCGGTGGGTACAGCTGCTGGGCAGTGCAAAGCTGGGGTCTTTCCCTCGGGGCACACACCACTTGAGTTCCTTCCTTTCTCTTCCGCAGTGACATAACAGCAATTCTTAATCTCACATACAGTCAGAAAAATTAGCCTATAGCAAACAGCTTTGGGCTCTGGCCCAGGGAACATTTGGGTAAGGTAGAACATGTAAAATGTAGCTCTGGAACCAGAGAAGATTTGAGCCAGGAGGCCAGTGATTTTTGACTCTTGGTTCAGCTCTGTCTCTGTTTTTTTTTTCCCCCCCTGCTAGATTCCATTCTCCCTCATGACTTTCTGTGAGTGGTTTCTGTTCTTGCTCATGGATAGTGAGTGGTGAGTGGTAAATAAGGTGGCATGCAAAAGTGATATGATTTTGACACACTGTAGTGACATCAGTATGACAAAAGTAGTTTGCAAAGGAAATTCTGTAGACCCTTTTTATGTTGGCTCTAACAGTTGTATTTTGAAATTTAAATATGCTCCATCTTAAGTATTCCCTGTCCTGAACTTTTACTGTTTTCTGGTTGGATAGGGCATTTCCCCCTTTCCTGTATGGCGGAGACGTGAATGACGGTATACACAAAAGACAAGTCATCTCATGTTCTGTTCCCCTTACGAATCAGCCAGTTGCTTCCTGGTGGATAGCTGCACTCTGGCACAGATTCTGGGACTCAGCTTCCTTATTTGTGATGTTCAGCTTCTCATGATCCCTGTGGGTGGCCTCAAGAGGAAAAATCTGGAACAGAGCCTCAAACTGATTAGGGGAGGAAGGGACAGACAGGGAGAAGACTATGAGGACTATTGTTGTGGAAGGAAAAAGTGAAGATACAGGGCTGTGGGATATAAAAAATTACCCAAGCTGCTTCTCATTTGAGAAAAAGTGAAGTCGGGTGTGAGGGAAGGTAATTTTGAGTAAAACACCCTAGCTACTGTGAGTGCAGGAGGTTGTGTAAAATTTATGAAAAGTCTGTTACCTCAGTATTCTCCTCGCCACTGTATGTTTTCAGCACTTTGTAACAGTGAAGAAATTTAGCAGGTCAAAACTATGATAATGATGATATCGTCTCATACTTTCACAAACATCAGGTTGTCCTCTCTCAAGCTCCCCACAAACTATTAGAGTCAGGCAAATACTTCTTCAAAACTCACACAGGTTATGCTGAGGTAGAAAATGGGACATTTATAACATTTTTAGAATTAAGTGTATGTGTTTTTTAGATTGTCATACTAGGGATTGAAACAAGGAGCTTTGCACTGAGCTGCATCCCCAGTTTCTGAACCCTCTTTAAATTTATTTATTTTTACTTTGCAGACAGGGTCTCAATAAGTTGCTTCATTGCCCAGGCTGTGTTAGAACTTACGATGCAATTGCCTCAGCCTCTCAGAATGCTGAGATTTGAGAGCGGAAAGGGACTAGAGATTGTCTGGTCTGAACGCATCTTGTGAGCAGAGGACTAAGGATAGGGGCCAGAGCCAGGGGGAAACTAGCGAAGTAAAAACCACTTAGCCAGCATCTGCTAGGGTGGATCCTGAAAAACCATGTACTGTATAGCACTGAGGTGTCCTAGAATAGAGATGCTCATATCTAATTATCCTGAGACATCAAGCTTCTGGGCCACCTTTTTGTAGTTAATTGCCCCATTACCTTCATACCTCGTAAGCTATGTCTAGAGACACAAACTGGCTCCTTGCCTTTTCCAAGGTTATACTTTAGTTTGGAAGACATAAACAATGAATTGTCCACGACAATATATTAGGTATGAGATGAACATAACAGTACATTTTGTAGTTACTGTACTTTGTTGGAGATGACGGGTTGTAGGTATGATTAGGGGGAAGTTTTATGAAGACTTGGGATTTGACTACCCTTCCAGAAAGATTCCAGAATTGAAATTGGAAAAGGCATTTCAGGTAGGGAGTTAGAGACTAAATGGAAGCTCGGCAGCTGGAAATTACAGGATATGGGAGATTTAGGAGGGATGAGGATTCAGAGAGACTTACTAGTTGGAAACACAGTTTAAATCAGTTTCAAGACCGAATTTAGGAAGATGTTTCAGGGCTGTGCTGTGAGATAGATGGCCTGTTAGTGTAACAATAAATATGTGCAGTATGCGTTAGAACAGTGCTTACAGTGCTTACAGTGTTTGTATCAATTTCACCTATTTTTGTAATTTCTTTTTTTTTCTATGTTCTTTTAAATTTCTTTGTGTTCTTCTCTGTTCTATTAGGCTCTTTTTCCCTAACTTCTTTCCACCTTTCAGACTCTTAGAGCTACTATAGATTTTGGGAGAAGAAATTGGGATATGAGTTGGGATCCACAAATGAATTTCCCCTGGTGGATAAACTCCACTGCAGGCCACAGAGGGGCCTCCTCATTCCAGCAATCTGGCCAGGATGACAGACTCAGCCTGTAGGGAGGGGCGGGGAAGGGGGCAAGTATTTCTCAGGCTAGTGAGGAACTGGCCTGATTCTTTGCAGTCTAGGCAGAGGAGGCAGGAGCCCTGGGGGTGGGCAGGTTGCCCTGGCGTGGAATGTCTGGGCAGATGCACAGGCAGCTGGAAAGGTGGCACCGCACTTGGGGCACTGAAGCTGCCGCTGTTCCTAGGAGACGAGGAGCAGGAGCCTGCGGGGGAGGGGGAGCAAGTGGATTGCTGCTTTTAGCAGCTGAAAGGGCTGCAGGGAGCTCTGGGTAAGACATTTTCTACTGCTGCTGCTTCTGCGGTAGAAGCTGCCGGGAGTAAGTCAGAGGAAGGAGGATCCAGAGGGAGGCGGCTTCACTTGCAGCCATGCTGAATCACAGTTACTGATCAGCTCTCCTGCTAGGCTGCTAGGAGAACCCAGATAAGAGCTAGGATTCCCGGGTGCATACACAGCTCAGCGGCTATCACCCCTACTGGGCCTCACACAATGGAGGGTGAAAGGTATGTATGTGTAAGTGTGTGTGTGTGTGTGTGTGTGTGTGTGTAAGGAAATGTGTGCTTGTGGTGCAGCTACCAGCTTTTGTATTTGCATTCACTGGGGAGTGTTGGAAAGTCTGGCCACTGATGGATCCCAAAGGGCAGCAGTCAGAGCAGGGAAGCCCTTTTCCAAACCCACCCCTTCCAGGACTCAAAGCTCCAGAGGTCTGGTTTCCACAAAGGAAGCTTTGGGTTTGTTGGGCAGAGGAGCACACCGAAAGAAGGGACTTCCTGGCTGCTGGTGGGGAATAGTTTCAGCACAGGCTGACTCAGGATTGCCTTCCTCAGACTGTTTTAAGGAGGCGTTTCCCTTTCCTGGCTTCTTTCCCCCAGGTGTTTTTTTGTTGTTGTTGGTTGGGGGTTGTGGATGTCATAGCAGTGTTTACCTAGCATGGAGCACTTGCATTTTTTATACCGAAGTGCCCAAATCTTCAGGAGGCATGTCATACCGATGGTTTTCCTAAAAAATTTGTGTGTGTGTGCGCATGCACACTCACACACACACCCCCATATAACACATGGTCAGGGTTGAGGAGGAGAAACAAAGTCAGATGACGCTTCCACTGAACCGAGTGTTCTCTCTATCAAAAAGTTTGTGAGTGATACTACAAGATATGTGCTTTGAAGGAACTCTTACTTCTTCTATTTGGGATTCCTTAAGGAACTGGAATCAGCAGGAGGGATTTTTAAGTACTTGTGTTTAGTGGGAACTGACTAGCCTAGGTTTTTTTTGCCTGGCACATGCATACAGATTTTAAAATTATTTGAGCTGCTGACCTTTCCATTGTGAAGGTGCTCAGTGCAGTCCTGGGGTGGGTCATTCCTCTGTCTGTGAACTAGAAGCCTCCTGAGTGCCAGCCTCTTCCTTCTGTAGGTCTGTGCTTATATAGCGAGACCACACTTAAAATTTTTCTTTAGCGGGGAAGACTGCAGGAAAGGGTCAGGCCAGTGCAGTGTAGCACCTAGGGGAAGATTGACAGTAACTGGCTGATTAAATGAGAATAAGCTCAAGTCAGCATTGTCTAGAGAACACTTTGATAAAAACTTTCGTTTGCATTGGTTAGAAAGGTAACCTATGTACCTTGTACCTAACTCCTTCATTTCATGGGGCACAATGATATCATTAACTATGTAGATCTCATTGGAACTGGCGTGATCTGTCTTTCTGTTGGAAGAGGCCCTGGACACTGTGCTTCTTCATGTCATGCCCACAGGAGGAGTCTGGGACTTTGCAGACAGTGTCTGCCTGTGAAGCCCCTTTCTGGGTATTCTTTGCAACTGGAGCTTCACACTGAACTTTGTGTGGTTTTCTGGGCAATAGAGCATCTAAAGGCCTTGGATCAGAGGTGGACAGTGTCCTTGCCTTTTCTCACTGGTCTGGTAGCTGGTAGAGACAAGGGTGTTGTGATGATGTACCAAGGCTGTTTGTTTGACACATGGAATATTGGGACTGAAAGGTTGCTGGAAGACTTCCAGCAGCTGATGCAGCCCTTTCGGGCACTGACTATGTTTAATTTCTGTGTTCAGAAATGAAATGACCCCTTGACCCCAAGGAGCGCTACTGTTTTTCAGAAGAACTCTGGTGCTCTCAGCTGAAATAGCTGATGTGTATGACTTGAGCATGTGGTTGCATATTCTTTTGCTTTTTCTCTGCTGGAGGCAGAGAATAGACAAGAAATCCAAACTGTGTGCTTCCAATGTTCACCAGGTCATCCAGCTCACTACCTTTTGATCCTACTCCAAGTCCAGCTTGTAATGCCAAGCATTCAAATCTTCTGAGATCTGGCTCCTATCTTCATTCCCACTGCTTACTCATAGGCCTACCAACAGTTTTATTGGTCTCCTTCTTCCCACCCATTCTGTACATTACTCTATGTACTTCACATCCTTTGCTCCCACACTATGTTTGACTGAATTTCTTTCTCTTCCTTTTTTGCAAAAGGATATATATATATATATATTATATATGGTGTTTTAAAATTCTACTTTGGTTTGGAAACCTCAGCTTTTCTAGTCTCCACTTATGTTCTTAATATCTCTAATGTGTATCTCAGAGTTTGGTACTGTATAGCTCTACCAGATCATTTGGTGCATTTGTTTCATATATCTTACAAGTGTCCACTCTTGGAGACAGGTCCTCTAGGGCAAGTATGGTGCCTTGTACCTCTTTCTGAATATTTCTCTTTGCCTGTTATATGGCTGTATAAATAGCGGGTGCTGGGAAGTTATTTGACTGTTAACTGATAACTTTTGAGGGAAACTCTGTTAACTAAAAAGAACATTGGTGAAAGCGATTGGAACCTTTGGCCAATGGGTTCATGCTTGGAAAGGAGCCCTATGTCAGCATGGATGATTGACCTCATGAAGTGCTTTGAGGTGAAAGAAGAACAGAGGGAAGTAACTTGTTTTACAAGTTTCCTGAAAGTTGAGGGCCAGGTAATCCAAATCACTTTCCTAGGATCACATGTCAAACCTCCGGGGACTGGAGGGATCCTGAATCTGGTGCTTGTTTCATATTTAACCTGCCAAAGCTTAACAGAGGTTGTTTTTAAGCATTAAAAATTTTCAGCCAAGAAATTTCTAATGAATAATTTTCTTTCTTTGCCATGAGGGTAAGAAAATACCTTCCACCTTGAAGGACTGTTAATTAAAAGCATAGGCTTTGCAATAACATACACCTAGTAGTGAATATATTTTACAAACTATGTGACCTTGAGTGTGCCACATTTTTACAGAACCGCTTTTCCTTTTCTGTGTGAAGGAATGAAAACAGTATGTATACTTCATGGGATTGTTCTGCAGATTAAATGAGACAATATGTATAAAGCACCTAGGAAATTTTTCTGATACAGAATAAAATACTCAGTAGATGGTACTGGCTGTTCCATTGGTGCCTGTCTGTTACCATGTTGTATCCTGCGAGTTGCTGCTGGGATACTAACCAAAGCATATTTTAGGGTTTTTCTAAATTTATCATCCAAAGGAGATTATAAGTGACCATTCTCATGAAAAAACTAGGAATAGCTTATCAGGCCACATCTTGTTTATCTGAAGTACTTCCTTAAAACAAGATACCTACTTTAATCTAGATGTCTTAGTGGTTTGGAACCATGAGCTGGATACATCTTTGTTTGGGCCAAGATGTTAGGAAGCAACCGTGAATGTACACTCACTCACCTTTGCTGCATCCTGAGCTCTCCAGCTCTATGCTGGACTTTCGGATACTAATCTTCCCCAGCTCCCTCCATGAGAAAATCATACTAACTTGATCAGCCTCAGGAAGGTGACTTTGTCTTCTATTTTGCAAAGGAAAAGGATCTCTGGCTCTTAGCTACTACATACAGTGATAAATTATGTCTGTGTCTATACATGTGTAGGTAGAACAGATAGACGTTGAAAATGGCCTTGCTATTGGTATTTTATTTCAGTTCTGGAAATCAGCCTTGTGGATGGGTTAAAGTAAATTTCCCACTTATATAGTCAAATTCATAGAGACAGAAAGTAAGGTGGTTGCCAAGGGTTAGAGTGAGGAAGGAATGGATATTGTTTAATGTATATGGAGTTTCAATTTGGAAAGATGAAAAAGCTTGGAGAATGGTAGAGGTAATGATTGTACAACACTATTACAAATGTGCTTAATGTTGTACACTTAAAATGATCAAGATTTTGAATTTTATGATACATGTATTTTATCACAAACACAATTCTAGGCCCATACTGGCAGATCTGCAAAAGTTGGAAAGACTCATAACTTCTGAAGGAAGCATCATGAAAGGGGAAGTTTATTTTTCTTCAAATTATGGTTATTTTCCTCATCAGAAGCACAGGAACACTGTTACTTGAGAGGGGAACTATGTACTCAGCTCTCAGCACTTGGCCTTGAATTTATGTGATGTGTCCTCAGAGGACAGCTCTTTCTAGCTCGTTGCTACAAAGGAGAACCTCCTTCTGGGCCTCAGGGAGCTTCTGAACAGAAAGTACTTATCTATCATTGATTCAAGAACCACAGATAGATAATACATTCTGAGGAGAGATGACTTAGAAAGCCAGTATTTCCTAAATGCTAGGTAATGGGCTGGCAAGATCCAAGGAAGGGCAAGTGTTGAGCAACCTAGCTCCTTTTCTATTCCCACTGGGAATGCACCTAAGCCTCCCTCCATCCCTAAACATCATGCGTAGAAACTTTTGGGCATCACTATTTCCTGAAGCACATGTGCATGCATTTCAGCTATGATAATTGAAACTAAAATTTTCCATTTTGGAAATACTTTTTGGCAAAAAAAAGACTTTCAACTGCAAAAACAAAGCTAGTGAAAGGAACCTCTTGCTTTCCCCAAACTCAGATTTGACTTTTTAGGATTTTCCTTGCTAAGTTTTAGATTGTTAAAATAGATCCAGACAACATTTTGTATAAGTTTTCTAAAGCAAGTGCTTTATCTTGATGAAATTTGCCATTGTAGAACTGACCTATTTTTTTTTTTTTAAATTTCTGGAAAAACCCCAAAACTAGGTTAAATTGAATAGACCATTAATAAACTATGTAGAAAATAGCCTGAACATGCTTTGTCCTTAGAATTTTTTTCCTCCTGTTGAGTAAGTTCAATGGCTCTCAGGATAGAAATCAGCTTTTTATGAGGATTTTTAGATTCTCAACATTACTTCCTGGAATTTTCTTTTTAGCTTGTGAAAATACATTGTGGCTTTGATCAAAGCCACAAATGAAAAATCTCAGTTCTCCTGTTCAAACCAAACATAAGCTTGCCTTCCAAGATACCAATAACAAGGGTTGTGTTTCTTTTTGTCCTTTCTCTTCTTGTCTTCTGTCTGCATAAGTGTTTCATTTATGTTTTACACAGTCCACTTAAGAGTTTTTGCCTTTAGTTTTGGGGAAAGCAATCATGAATTGGGCTTTTAGGAATGTGATTATAATGTATGACATAGGGGCTGTGTTCTGCTTATCCTGA